CAGAACTAAACCAGGACTAAACCAAGACTGAACCAGGACTAAACCAGGACTGAACCAGGACTAAAGAAGAACTAAACCAAGACTGAACCAAGGATTAAACCAGGACTAAACCAGGTCTAAACCAAGCCTAAACCAGGACTAAACCAGGACTTAAAACAAGACTAAACCAGGACTAAACCAGGACTAAACCAGGACTAAACCAGGACTAAACCAGGACTAAACCAGGACTAAACCAGGACTAAACCAAGGACCAAACCAGGACTAAACCAAGACTAAACCAGGACTAAGCCAGGACTTAAAACAAGGACTAAACCAGGACTAAACTAGGACTAAACCAAGACTAAACCAGGACTAAACCAAGGAACGAACCAGGACTAAACTGGGTCTAAAGTAGGTGTGTGCAAAAATATCGAAATATCATATCATTTAATGTGATGTATCGATATCGTGGGCTGCTGCATCGATATATCATTAAGAGTATATATTTTTTTGGTTTATTTTACTGGATTGTTTAGTTCCAGCTTGAGTTCTGTTGTTTGTTCAGATGAAGGAAACTCATTTATGAAACATATTTGACATTTTCCCTGTTGTGATGTTTCTAAACCAGGTTCAGATTCGGGTCTAAATCCCTCGTGTGTGTTTTTGATTGTCCCAGATCAAACTTTGGTCCTAATTGAAGATCATTAAACTTCCCTCATGACAAACCGAGCCCCGCGGAAACAAAACCACATCAAGTCCATCTGAGCAAACCAGACGAGACCAGAGGGACAGTCTCATCTGACAACTCCAATTATCTCCAGAGACACTCCACGGCCCGCGGTCTGGACTCAACCAGGACTACACCGAGGACTGGACCAAGGACTGGACCAAGGACTGGACCAGGATTTAAAAAGATCTTAACCAAACACTAATCCAAAACTAAACCAAGACTAAACCAGGACTAAACCAGGACTAGACCAGGATTTAAAAACAGATCATAACCAAACACTAATCTAAAACTAAACCAGGACTAAACCAGAACTCAAACAGGGCTAAACCAGGACTAAACTAGGACTAAACCAGGACTAGACCAAGGACTGAACCAGGACTAAATGAAGATTTAAAAAGATCTTAACCAAGGACTAAACCAGAACTAAATCATGACTAAACCAGGACTGGACAAGGACTGTACCAGGACTCAACCAGAACCAAACCAAAACTAAACCAGGATTAAAAAAAGATCTCAACCAAGCACTAATCCAAAACTAAACCTGGACTAAACGAGGTTTAAACCAGGACTGAATTAGAACTAAACTGGGTCTAAACTAGGACTAAACCAGGACTAAACTAGGACTAAATCAGGATTAGACTAAGAACTGAACTAGGACTAAACCAGAACTAAACCATGACTAAACCAGAGCTAAACCAGGACTAAAAACAGATCTTAACCAAGCACTAATCCAGAACTAAACCAGGACTAAACCAGGACTAATCCAGAACAAAACCAGGACTAAACCAGGACTAATCCAGAACAAAACCAGGACTAAACCAGGACTAATTCAGAACTAAACCAGGACTAAACCAGGACTGAACTAGGACTAATCCAGAACAAAACCAGGACTAAACCAGGACTAATTCAGAACTAAACCAGGACTAAACCAGGACTGAACTAGGACTAAACCAGGATTAGACTAAGGACTGGACTAAGACTGGACCAGGACTAAACGAGGATTTAAAAGATCTTAACCAAGGACTAAACCAGAACTAAACCAGGACTTGACCAAGGACTGGACCAGGACTGGACCAGGGCTCAACCAGGACCAAAACAAAACTAAACCAGGATTAAAAACAGATCACAACCAAGCACTAATCCAAAACGAATCCAGGACTAAACGAAGTTTAAACCAGGACTGAATTAGAACTAAACCAAGTCTAAACTAGGACTAAACCAGGACGAAACCAAAACTAAAACAGGACTAAACCAGGTTTAAACCAGATCTAAACCAGGACTAAACTAGGTCTAAACTTGATCTAAACCAGGATTAAGAAAAGATCTTAACCAAGCACTAATGCAAAAATTAAACAGGTCTAAACCAGGACTGAACCAGGACTAAACTGGGTCTAAATCAGAACTAAACCGGGACTGAACCAGGACTAAACCGGTTTCAGAAACCGGGGGCATTATTCCGACCCAAAGATTGAGCCGTAAAATTAATTACAAGTTTGTGAAGCAAATTCCAAACAAATAATGCGCTGGTTCAACTTTACTGAACTGTTGACATTTAACTCCCACAGAGTTCATTTCTGAACTGTCACTTCCTGTTTTATGCACTTTAACGACAAAATATATGATATTTTGTTTTCATTTGTGGCAACACTAATGCTAATGTCTCATCAGTATAGTCCAGGTTTATTCTTTATTTGGTCCTGGTTCAGTTTGGGTTTAGTTCGGATTCAGGCCTGTTTTAGTCCTGTTCAGTCCTATTTTCATCCTGGTTTAGTCCTGTTTTAGTCCTGGTCTAGTCCTGTTTAGGTCCTGGTTTAGTCCTGGTCTAGTCCTGTTTCAGTCCTGTTTCAGTCCTGGTTTAGTCTTGGTTTAGTCCTGGTTTAGTCCTGTTTCAGTCCTGTTTCAGTCCTGGTTTAGTCCTGGTTTCAGTCCTGGTTTAGTCCTGTTTCAGTCCTGGTTTAGTCCTGTTTTAGTCCTGCTTCAGTCCTGTTTTAGTCCTGGCTCAGCTCTCGTTCAGCGCTGTAAAACCCCAGGCTCGGTGAAGGCCTCGCGGTGCGTTCAGGACCCCTCCCACGCAGTAATCAGGAAGTCAGAGGTTTGTTTATCTCACAAAGGCATCGCCGCGGGCAACGCACAACAGAAAAAGACCGAAGAGGAGGCAGCGTGTGAGCGGCACATCATCGTGGACCGGAGTTTGAATTATACCAAACAAAGACAAGACACGAAAGAGTCCAGGTGGATTTCAGACCAGCACACTCTCCCGGCACGAATTTCACACGTTCTAACTCTTAAACACTACACGACAAAATGACATATTGTGATGAAAAGGGAAGACAATAATCGTACACGAGACTTTCTGTATAATTTATGAGAATCGCCAACAGACTTAACAGCTTTTACATCAACAAAAAGTTCAGAAAAAAGCTACTGGTCCAGATGACTTCTAGATCATTGCTCTTTTCTCTTAGTCAGACTGGGGCCAACTAGTGCCTCGGCTCAATTTCATTTCTCTCCAGTGACTAGATCAGGAATCAGAATACACTAGACCGTTTGCAAAAAACCCAGGAAGTGTGAGTTGGGGCACCAGCCAATCAGCGAAGAGTCATATTCTGTGTTTCAACGATTCCTGTGTGAGATAGTATCTTGACCCTGGGGTGAACATAGCACTATAGTAAAGTGACCCCCCCCATAGGATTTTGACTCTCCTTACTTTTTTGTTTAGTAGTTACTTATCTTAGGGATGTCCCGATCACATTTCTCCTTTGATTTTGAGTATCTGCCGATACAGAGTCCTGATCTGATACTTCTATAAAACATTATAAAATGAACAAAGAGCAAAGAATAAGATCCAGGATGTGTGGGGGAGATCAGATTGTGTTGATTTTCGTATTGTGTCGTATTTGGGCTGAACTTAGTGTGAAAAATCAAATGTCCAAAACTTGAATTTTTTTTATTAACTTTTCTAACCATGAACCATCATTGTTGAAAATCTTTACTTTTACCACAGTCTGGTCTTGGAATGTGTAACTTAGTAAACTTAATGAACTGGACAAAACAGGAACCAGAATCCAGATCAGACCTGAGACTCGACTCTGCACAATCTACACTTTGTATATTTGATATTATATGTTTGCATGTGCATTATGTTTGAAACATTTAGGCTCGTCTATGAAATCCAAATAATACAAAATCTTACCAAATAAAAACGAGATGACAGAAGCCCCACAGCCTCTCTCCCCCACAAACCCACCGCGAAGCACAAACCGCAACATCGGTCCCACCGCTCAACAGACACCTCGTGCCGCTGGACGGACCCTCACCGCCAATAGCGCCAGCTCCACTGCACAACAGCGCTGTTTGTTTTGTTTGCAACAAACAGCACCATGCAATGATGCCATTGGCCACGCAGGTGTGAACACGAGCCAGAGAACCACAGGTAACAGCCCCCGAGCACGACACAACCCAAAAGTCCCAGTGTAAGTGCACCTCTACTACAGCAGGTGCTGGGACAGACAGTCACACTGACTGGACGTCCTTGAGAAAAACTTGTCTGCTGTGTGTTATATACATATATTATTTATCCGATACCTGATCAGAACATAATGCCCGAGTCCGGATTGAGTCCAGAGTCACGATTCATTTCTGTAAGTGGAATAAAACCATCCTAATATCTTTCAAGTCAAATGTAATCTAAAATATAACTGTAAATCATTTGAAAACCTTCCAATAAACAAGCTGTGAGTGTTATCAGTTCATAAAGAACCAAGGAGACAGATGTGTTTAATACATTAACACTGTGGAACATTCCAGGCAACGCTATAATCTCTCCATAGAAACAAACAACCAGAGGACACCAGAAAAATTACACAGTGCACCTTTAAGTCGAGCTATTAAAGTTGAAAATGTGACTCCAGATGATGAAATAAAGAAATGTTTAACCTGCACAATCATAAAACACAAATCATACTTCATCCCAGATACAAACATCAGCTCGTTTTGACAAAAGGACAGTTACTTTATTACAGCTTTATGTGAAATGTGAATAATCTGATTACTCCAGAAATCAGATCACAATCAGATCAGCGCTTGTGCTTGTAAACACAGTGGTGTGGTGCGTTCACTGGCCTCAGGTTTTGTGGTGTTATTGTGCTGTCGTGAAAGGTGAGCGCTGTGTGTGAGTGTGTCTGTGTGTGTGTGTGTGTGTGTGTGTGTCTGTGTGTGTGTGTGTGTGTGTGTGAGATTCAGATTCGTGCGGGAACAAAGGCCTCAGGTGTGAAACAGGAAACAAACTTACGGAAAAGAAAAGGACAAAACGCTCCAGGAGTCCAGATAACACAGAATGGTGTTGGCAAAGTGTTGGAGATGTTACTGCCTCCCAGCAACGAGGTCATTAGTTCAATTCCCAGATCAGATCAGCAAAACACTGGGTGAAAAAACAATTGGGGCAAAAATAATTTGTTTTCTCTTTGTATCGATTAATAATGTTTTGGTTTTCTTTGACATTGTAATGTAAAAAGGAAGTACTTTAATGTTGAAACTCACATTCTGTTGTCTAAAAAAAATGTGTTTGTAATTGTCATTGTTGGATCAGAATCAGTACTGACCATCCAGTTTATTCCTTAGTATAAAAATCAAATTGTTTGGTATCGTGACGACACAATTACACAGTAGAGGCCAAACCTTCAGCCTGGTGTTAAGATGTGAAAACAGGTCCCCAGGCTCTGCACTGTGGATAATCACTGCTGCAGGGACATTGAAATGTGGCACTGATCAAATACAGGGAGTTAAACCTGCATTTGACCCATCCTTAAGTGTCCCTGGGCCTGATCTTGGCCATGATCTTATCACTAGTGCAAGTGTTAAGAAGCGAACGTGTCCAGGTTGGTCTTCTCTGCTGGAGGCTGGAGTGGGACGGTACAAGTCACATATGGAGATGACATCTGAACCAATCTGTGACCACTGTGGCATTTAATTATTTCTGAGTAAAACAAAACAGCTCTGGAGCCCCACGATGTAAGTGCACACCAGCAGAGGCACAAAGAATAAAGAATGATGGATGGGCACTCCATGCACACACCCCTGTAAGCCCGTGCACACACACACCGTCAAACTTTTTAGTTTTCTCTGCGTTCTTCATTTCGTTTGCCTCCCATTACGCAGCTCTCATGCTCTCCCCAACCCAGCAGACTCGCAGCTTCTCGCTCCCACTCCCGTCTGTCCCACAGTCCACTCCCACGGACTCACCTGGGGTACGAGTGTCCACCACTGCCTCTACTGACCGCTCACATCCTCACAGGTGTCCACTGCATTTGGTCACACACAGGTGGATGTCTCGCCAATTGTGGAATACATTTATTGTAAATATTTCTGATGTTACCACTTTGTGCACAGACATGAATTAAAGCATGAACACACGAGGAGGGTGACTGCTCGACCTGCCTGTCTGTACAGACCAGTGCTCGGTGGGAACTGTTCGTCCCTTGAGTCACTGTACAAAGCTTTACTGACCACTGCTGCAGAGAGCAGCACGTACAGTACAATATGTGAGTCTGCTCCACTGTCACAGCCCTGAGCTTCACTGACTGCACACGCTGATGTGCACAGTTTTCTACAGTTCTGATGGTCGTCTACCTACTGCCGACTAACTTTATAAACTAACCAAAGCGGCACATTGGGAATAATTTGGTCACAAAATTAAATGTAGCTGATGACAGAAATTGTATGAGGATGTGAGGAAATCTGACATGGCAGCATTAGGACACAGACAGAGTAAGAAAACAGACTTGAGGACATCGCTGTAAACGGCCTCATGTGAACGAGCAGCTTTTGTACAGATCCACATCAAACCAAACTGTAGATCAGAGCTGAGGCGATACAGGGAGCGGGCGAGGGGCTGTGGGAGGGCATCCGGACGACTCCCGCACACGAATATGTTACAAATGTTAAGCATTTATCATCCAGATACAATCCCAAATAAAAGACGTCTTGAGAATGTTGCACGTTGTTTTTCAGTGAACTCGTTTGATTCTGTCATTTCACTGAATGCTCCACACCTGCCCTCACTCTACTCCACTCCACCTCATGTTCAGGGACAACACGCCTCAGGTTTAGAGCTCCACGCCCCACACTTGTGTTAGTGCTGAGATCAGGGGCTCTGGGTTAGACCTGCACTTGACCCGTCCTTCAGTGTCTCTGGGTTAAGCGTGTCAGGAGCAGTGGGACCACCTCCAGATCTTAAGTCTTGTTCAGGTTTACCGTCGCTGGTTTTGTTACAGCGATGGGCCCATCACATTTACACTAACAAGACACTGCAGGCAAAACACAACCTGACCGTTTATGAAAGAGTATTTTTGCTATTTCCTCTCATGTCTCTGGTTTCCTACAGCGAACGCCTCATTGTGATTCTGGCACTTCTGCTGAGTGTGCAAAAAAACGGACGGTCCCCAAACCTGCCGGATCAGGACAAAACAGAGTCTTTCACCAAAACAGGACAGAAACAGGACTAGAATGTACGGAAAAAGAAAAGCTAAACAGTGAAGAGCGAGAGGAGCGAGAGGAGCCGGGTGCACCGCAATGCGGCGCCCCAGCACACGGAAACACAGATGAAGAGAGCTCATTAAGAGGTGACAGCACGAGCCCAGGGACGAGAGGAGAGAGGGAGGAGAGAGAGACAGCACGAGCCCAGGGACGAGAGGAGAGAGGGAGGAGAGAGAGAGAGAGAGAGGGAGGAGAGACAGCACGAGCCCAGGACGAGAGAGAGAGGAGAGGAGAGACGAGAGAGGGACGAGAGGAGAGAGGGAGGAGAGAGAGAGACAGCACGAGCCCAGGGACGAGAAGAGAGAGGGAGGAGAGAGAGAGACAGCACGAGCCCAGGGACGAGAGGAGAGAGGAGGAGAGAGAGACAGCACGAGCCAGGGACGAGAGGAGAGAGGGAGGAGAGAGAGAGAGACAGCACGAGCCCAGGGACGAGAGGAGAGAGGGAGGAGAGGAGAGAGACAGCACGAGCCCAGGGACGAGAAGAGAGAGGGAGAGAGAGAGAGAGACAGCACGAGCCCAGGGACGAGAGGAGAGAGGGAGGAGAGAGAGAGACAGCACGAGCCCAGGGACGAGAAGAGAGAGGGAGGAGAGAGAGAGACAGCACGAGCCCAGGGACGAGAGGAGAGAGGGAGGAGAGAAAGAGACAGCACGAGCCCAGGGAGGAGAAGAGAGAGGGAGGAGAGAGAGAGACAGCACAAGCCCAGGGACGAGAGGAGAGAGGGAGAGAGGAGAGAGGGAGATAGGAGAGAGAGAGAGGAGTGAAAGAGGTGACAGCACGAGCTCAGGGAGAATGGAGAGAGGAAGGGAAGATAGGGAAAGAGCGACGGATGACAGGAGGAGCCCGGGGTGCACGGAGAGACAGAGGAGAGGAGAGCGAGAAGGGAGCAGGGATAGAGTAGAGAGAGAGAGAAGAGAGGGATGGAGGAAAGGAAGGAAGGAAGGAAGAGTGGAGGAACCCAGGGAGAACGGACAGAAGAGAGGAGAGAAGGAGGTGACAGGGGAAGCCCAGGGAGAACACAGAGGAGAGAGAGAGAGGAAAGAGGGATGGAGAGGGAGGTAGAGAACGGAAACAATCCACCAATTACCTCACATCTGCTGTTTTGTTGTTTTTTTTTTTGTTTTTTTTTAAATTCCATGAACAGTGACGGTTTAGAGCGGGTTTATTTAGAGTCAGTTAGATCACCGTTTGGTTCAGATCTAGATTAGACCGGTTCTAGTCCTGGTTTAGATCTGGAAAAGTCCGGTTCTAGTCCCGGTTTGGGCCTGGTACTCTAAACGGGCTAAATATTTATACTGAGATCCAGTGAGAAGCCGGGATTTACCATATGTCACAAATGTACTGACAGCTGAGAAAGACGGAGTGAAGACTGACGAAAAGAAAGAGAGAGAAGGTAGAGAAATAAAGGAGCTGGAAGAGACAGGGAGAGTGGAGATGTGGAGAGCAAAAGGGAGAGAAAAGAAAATGTAGGAGGGTAATAAAGAAGAGATAGAGATGTGGAGAGAGAGCAGGCGTGGAGGAGAAGTGGAGACCTACGTGAAGTTGGCAAATCAAACGCAAACATACACAAAAACTCTGTCAATCATTTGTGCTTCTTTGTGCTGCAAAAAGTTTGGTTTGTGCTGTTTTAGTTTTGGAAATATTAATGATTCTTTTACAGGTCAAACTGTTGTCAACCAGGCCCCAGGAAACTTCAAAATGCTCGAAAACGACACAAAACGGAGTCAGTCGTTTGTGCTGTTTTGTGCTGAAAAAAGTTTAGTTCTTAAGATGTGAACAGTTTTATTTTGGACTGATGACGTCATCCAGACCCTTAAAATGTGAAACAGGCCTCAAAGCAGACAGAAAATTATATGACACGTTTGTATTTCATTTGAGCTGTTTTGTGCTGTAAAAGTTTTCATTTGTGCGAGTTTATTTCTAAAATTATGAATTATTATTTTGGGGGAAATTTCATCCATTTCCGCTCAGTTGACGACAGCGGCTTCAACAAAACTCCACAAAACTAGTGAAGAGAAACGATCTGAGGCTGTGGAAAAGTGAATCAAAAGAAAGTTACTAAAGACTGACACAGATCCCAGTGATGATCAGAATCTCCCAGTTATAGGACACTGCATAATGTGTCGTGTAACAGTGTTACTGGTGCACAGTATCAACAAATGTTTAACGAGTACAAGTACAAGTATATTAAGGAAGTACGAGTATCGGTATCATTTAGGGATGGGCATGGTTAGCCAACTAAAGCAGTTTTGTTGATCACGTTCATTTTTAATGGACAAACTGAATGTATGTTGTTGTGTGGACTAGGGATGGGCATTCAATGAACTTTTCTTAATCAATCGTCGGAAGAATTAACGATCGATTATCGATTAATCATTAACGTTTTTATATTAAAATGATCATCATTATTATTACTATCTGCACTAATCTGCATAAATAAATTCAACTTTACGACATATAAACCGTAACCACTCTAGAGCCACATCAGCCCGTTTGAGATTATAATGTGTTTAATTCAGTTTTGTTCAACTCTCACAGAAACGAAAAATACTGAGTCGCTAATTTGCATAAACTAAGCGAAGATAAAACTCCAGCTCTTGTGTCGCTGATGTGGTTCAACTTCTGTTGGATTAAAAGACATGACTCAGGTGAATACAGGTCAGTGTGACCAGATTTGCGTTTGTCAAAACCAGGACAGCGTACGGGGGGAGGGAGGTGGAGACTCATCATCGACATTAAGCGACTCTCACCTGGTAAAACTTTTTCCCACTGGACACTGAAACATATGTGCTGCTTTGTTCACTGTGCACATGGACTCACACTTGTCCCGAACGCAACGGACAAATCATCGTTAAATCCACATTTGTGCTTCGGTACGTTGCAGACTG